TTTGGCTGGGTTTATGAGTCTGCATGCAGGATTAGTTTTGAAATTTTCTTTTATGGTCTTTTAGTGTGATAAAGGCTCGTGCCTTGCTAATACAATTTATTCGTCATCTAGGTCTAATTTTGGGCGATTGTTTTAAAATTTCCTTATTGATATCGTGTTCTGTTGTTTGGGGTGCCTTTTGTATATTTTTTTTTATTTTTGTTCTTAAATAATTTATATGTGTAGGATGGGCTTAGTTTGTATAATCGTTAACCTAAAAATAAAAAAAAAAAATAAAAATTTACAATAATAAAAAAAATAATAAAATAAATAAAATAAATAAAAAATAAATAAATAGTTATTTTGAAAAATTGAAAACCAAAAGAGAAAATATAAAATAAAATTAACCTAAATTCATCAATAAATAGGCAAACCAATCCCAAATTAAAAAATGTTCCGTTAAAAAAAATAATAGTTAGAATGAACTACAACAACCAACCCCAAAATTGAACAAATAGCTTTAATTAAATATCAAAAAAAAAAACTGTTAAATATTTGATATAAAAATATTTTACTACGTTAATAAATAAATAAATAAGAATTAAAAAAAAATTTAAATAAAATAAAATAAAATAAAATAAAAAAATAAAACTGTGAAACTCTTTGATGTTAAAAATAAATTACAAATTATTGAAATTGACAAAAATAACTTCGCCATAATATAATATATAAAATTCATTTTTTATATATATATATATAAATTTTGAACAAATATGTGGCCTGACGATTACAATATATATTTCGCCTTAGTTTTTTGACTTTAAAAATTTTTATATTTATATATATATATATATATATATATATATAATTTTTTTATATATATATTTATCTTAAAAAAGAAACTTTATAAATTTAATTAAAGAACACAAAATTTTTCAGAAAAATTTGCATAGATAATTTAGATTTTTTATCTAACCTAATCCCAGGACGTCTATTACTTTAGTCAAGATTACGGAAGAGTGTCCCATGTGATTTGAAGATTGTTGTTTAATATAAAATATAAATGATTTAATGAAAGTTTTCAAATTCAAAATTTGAAAACTTTTAAAATCATTTATTTACATTCAACATCAAATTTAATAAGAATAGATATTCCTTTGTTGAAACAGAATATTTATTTTCTGATTTTATGAAAAATATTTATGATATAATTTTTAAATAAATAATTAATCTGCTATTTTGTATTGAACCCTCTTTTAAGAATAGTAATTGTTGGTTATTGAATTTTAAATTCTTTGTTTAAAAATATAAACCAATCATATACTTTTTATATATATATATATATATATATATATATATATATATATATATATATATATGTGTGTGTGTGTGTGTGTGTGTGTTGTGTGTGAAAAATAGAAAGAAAATAGGAAAGAACTGGTTTGGGTAAATAATCCAAAGTTTTTAGTATTTTTGTTATTATTTTTAAAAATATATATCGATACAAAATTAGAGCATAAATATAATTATTTATTGGAAAATATGATTCCAACACGCTACATAAGAGGTCTCATGTTTCAAAACAAGAGCCGAAAATTCAATATAATTATTTGAATTAAATTGAATTAAAGTAAGCTCTGTTCCATCTTCAAGCGAAATTTTTTTTGGAATAACTTATTTCTGAAATTTACGTATTTTTTAATAGCATATTCATAATTGAAATCAAAATTTCTATGGTAACGGCTAGGGGAATTGTTTAAAATAGGTGGGGTGTTGGGTGTTAATAATTTGTATTATAGAGTTTTTTCATAGATTCAAGTCAGGTTAAGGTGGGGGTTCTAAATTTAAAACGGAAGATGTTTTTGCCTAGTTGGTTTTGTCTATGGTTTTTTTTTTTTTTTTTTTTTTTTTTTCTGAAAGGGTTTTGTTATATAAAAAACTGCCGTAAATCGATTTTTTTTTTTTTTTGACGACTTCATAAAGGGTTTTTTTTTTTTTGTAGGGTTATTTAAATTTATTTATTTATTATGGATTAACGGTTTTTATTTTATTGTTTGTTTTTTATTTAATTATTCAATGCATAAATTTGATGAATTTAAAAAAACCGTTACTCATGTCTATTGTTTAATAGATTTTTATTATTTAGAAACTTAATAATGTGCAGTTTTTCATGGAGGCAAAAGGGCATGGGTCATCCCAAGTTTTACAAGTTCTAGTCCTGTTTATAATTTTCCATTTTAAATTCTGACTCCTTGATTTGCAAACTATTAGGCTTAACCTCAGGACGTCTATTGACGTTAGACATAATTACGGAAGAGTGTTTTATGTGTACTGTCTAAAGACGCTTAAAAAATTGATATATCACGAAGCTTTTTTTTTTATTATGAACGATTTTGTATACACTAAAAGACATTGGCCTTTTTTACCCAACTGCTTTGGATAATTGAGGGAAACAAAATGGCGCACGAATAGAAAATAAAAAATTGTTTCTTCGTTTTTATAAGTCATGGCCTTTCAGGACGTGGGCGATCTGGAGATCTACTGATTTTCGTCACA